GTACCTACTTAATTTTAAAGAATAGTTTGCTAGGTGAGAGTCCGAGCAAACAGGCTGGATATGTTATTTTGTCAATTATGCTTCATGCGATTTTTTTAAATTATTATATGGAGCTTCCGTCATGGGCCCTATAGTATTGCTTGCGGTTCCCCATAATTGGATTTTATATGTCCAAACTGGTTTTAAAACTGTCATATACAGGATGACTTTGCAGTCAAGGCTTAATTTTAATTGCTGATTTATTTGTCAGTGTATTTTAGAAGCTTTTGGCTTTATGTGAAGCTTATCTTGGGAATACTAAGGTATGTAACGTGATCAGACTGTAAGATGTTCTTATTGTTTAGTACCACAGGAGGGCAGCTTCTGCTTCTAATTGAAAACTTGGTGTGTTTACTTTATTTGCTTGAGTTCTCTAATTTTTAAAGACATTTGAGTCCACATGGCTACTAAGAATGACATTGTCATCAGCAAAAGTGGAAATGGTTAATTCGTTAGACATATAGATAAATCAAAGATAAAAATAGGTAAAGTGTCGGACTTAGAACACTTCTCTGAGAATTACCAACTTTGATCACATAATCACTTGTGACATAATCACCGGATTTTATCCTAAATTACCGTTGTAATAGGAAAGACTCTAGTACTTTATGTGTACTATAATCTAATGTATTAGACCTCTGTATTAAACCTTGTCGATAGTCAGTGCCACATCAAAAAATATTGCCGAAGAGTTCTTTTTTTGTTCGAAAATTATATCTCCTGTCAAGCTGTATACTTGTGGTTAACTTGATAATCTGGGATAATGTTTTTACGTTTTTAAGAATGTTATAATTTTCCTCCCCGATTAAATCCAGAAAAAAAAAAACATTTTTTATTACAGTGTAAAAACTCCATAGTTTATGATTGCTCACAAGCCAACAAAGAAGTCAAATAGAGAGTAAAACGGACATTGCAGGTGGATAAAATTTAATGGTGGCCAAGTAGTATTAGTTAGTATCAGCATAGTGTTAGTAACGAATTGTTTTCTTTACAAGAGAGAAGTAACTTTTTTGCGATGTGCTACACTCACTTTCCCGTTTTTATGTCTCTTTCGCACATGTAGACGAAGGAAATAAAATGTGGTTTTGGTGGCACTACTAGTGGCAGCAACAACCACACAAAGGGGAAGTGGAATTGAATAGTAAATTTACAAGTTACAAAAACTCCTGTGACTCTACTATTATGTACATCAAGGAAGTACTGCGTGTTAATTGCCATTGTAAACGTTTATGGTTGACGCTGTTGATGTTCGAAGAAGTTTAAATTCGTGTGTTTAAAAAAAAAATAAGTAGGATTTTTTTGTGCATATTTTTAGAATATTAGGGTGTTACAACTTGGAAATGTGGAGAAGTTTATATTGAAATTTTGAACTTAATTAAATTATAAGAAAATGTAATGGATTTTTAGGAAAGTTTTTATTTTATTTTTTTGAAACTTTAAAGGCATGTTCGCACTTATTGAAAAGCAATTAGACTTAATAGCTTTATTATGATCCCTTTAAATCAGGCATAGAAAATTCAGTACTTTAGTATATCTTTCAGTTCTTTTTGACATCGAAAAATACCTCGGCATCCTACGAATCATTCGGTACTTTTTCCAATTTATAAACTTTTGATAAGAAGTCCAGATAGAAGTCAGTCTGTAGTTTAGTCTAGTGTATAGTCTAGTCTATGGTCTAAGTCTGGTCTATATTCTAGTTCTATATCTAGTCTATAATCGAATCTATAGTCTAGTCTATAGTCTAGTCTATAGTCTAGTCTATAGTCTAGTCTATAGTCTAGTCTATAGTCTAGTCTATAGTCTAGTCTATAGTCTAGTCTATAGTCTAGTCTATAGTCTAGTCTATAGTCTAGTCTATAGTCTAGTTTATAGTCTAGTCTATTGTCTAGTCTATTGTCTAGTCTATAGTCTAATCTATAGTCTAGTCTATAGTCTAGTCTAGTCTAGTCTATAGTCTAGTCTATAGTCTAGTCTATAGTCTAGTCTATAGTCTAGTCTATAGTCTAGTCTATAGTCTAGTCTATAGTCTAGTCTATAGTCTAGTCTATAGTCTAGTCTATAGTCTAGTCTATAGTCTAGTCTATAGTCTAGTCTATAGTCTAGTCTATAGTCTAGTCTATAGTCTAGTCTATAGTCTAGTCTATAGTCTAGTCTATAGTCTAGTCTATAGTCTAGTCTATAGTCTAGTCTATAGTCTAGTCTATAGTCTAGTCTATAGTCTAGTCTATAGTCTAGTCTATAGTCTATAGTCTAGTCTATAGTCTAGTCTATAGCCTAGTCTATAGTCTAGTCTATAGTCTAGTCTATAGTCTAGTCTATAGTCTAGTCTATAGTCTAGTCTATAGTCTAGTCTATAGTCTAGTCTATAGTCTAGTCTATAGTCTAGTCTATAGTCTAGTCTATAGTCTAGTCTATAGTCTAGTCTATAGTCTAGTCTATAGTCTAGTCTATAGTCTAGTCTATAGTCTAGTCTATAGTCTAGTCTATAGTCTAGTCTATAGTCTAGTCTATAGTCTAGTCTATAGTCTAGTCTATAGTCTAGTCTATAGTCTAGTCTATAGTCTAGTCTATAGTCTAGTCTATAGTCTAGTCTATAGTCTAGTCTATAGTCTAGTCTATAGTCTAGTATATAGTCTAGTCTATAAGCTAGTCTATAATCTAGTCTATAGTCTAGTCTATAGTATAGTCTATAGTCTAGTCTAGTCTATAGTCTAGTCTATAGTCAAGTCGCTAATTCAAGAGCCCCCGCTAATTCAAGAGCATGTTCTCAATCCGACATTGATCAATTTAATAGAGGATTGGAAAAAGAAAATACAGCAACTGAGGAACTCTCTTAAAATGTAAGGTTACTAAATATGAAAATATCAGACCAAATCCAAAACTCCCTTACAACACTAACTGACACACTCTTTACATTAGTGAACCAAGTAAAAGAGCTTACTGACAAAGATACACAAAGGAGGTTAGTTAGTTAGTTAGTTAGTTAGTTAGTTAGTTAGTAGTAGTTAGTTAGTTTAGTTAGTTAGTAGTTAGTTAGTTAGTTAGTTAGTAGTTAGTTAGGTTAGTTAGGTAGTTAGTTAGTTAGTAGTTAGTAGTTAGCTAGTTAGTTAGTTAGTTAGTTAGTTAGTTAGTTAGTTAGTTAGTTAGTTAGTTAGTTAGTTAGTTAGTTAGTTAGTTAGTTAGTTAGTTAGTTAGTTAGTTAGTTAGTTAGTTAGTTAGTTAGTTAGTTAGTAGTTAGTTAGTTAGTTAGTAGTTAGTTAGTTAGTTAGTTCGTTCGTTCGTTTTCGTTCGTTAGTTCGTTCGTTCGTTCGTTAGTTCGTTCGTTCGTTAGTTAGTTGTTGTTAGTTCGTTCGTTTTAGTTCGTTCGTTCGTTCGTTTAGTTCGTTCGTTCGTTGTTCGTTCTTTCGTTCGTTCGTTCGTTCGTTCGTTCGTTCGTTCGTTAGTTTGTTCGTTTCGTTCGTTCGTTCGTTCGTTCGTTCGTTCGTTCGTTCGTTCGTTCGTTCGTTCGTTCGTTTTCGTTCGTTCGTTCGTTTCTTCGTTCGTTCTTCGTTCGTTCGTTCGTTCGTTCGTTCGTTGTTCGTTCGTTTTGTTCGTTCGTTCGTTCGTTTTCGTTCGTTGTTCGTTCGTTCGTGTTCGTTCGTTCGTTCGTTCGTTCGTTCGTTCGTTCGTTCGTTCGTTCGTTCGTTCGTGTTCGTTCGTTGTTCGTTCGTTCGTTCGTTCGTTCTTCGTTCTTCGTTCGTTCGTTTGTTCGTTCGTTCGTTCGTTTAGTTAGTTAGTTAGTTAGTTTATTATATACACTTAGGCCATTATCGATCCTGTTTTGCGCTCCTCTACCGGCTTCTCTGGTCAGATTTGAACACACGACCTCTGGACTAATACACTATTACTCTTTATACTTTTTTAATTAAAATCAAATTAGAAAAAAAATTACCCTAATGTATATACATAAGTACAATGTACGTACATACAATATATAAATAATGTACCTATTGAATATATTTCCTTGGAGAGTAAATAACTAAGAGAGACTATAGCAGAGCATGCGCACTATGTTTGTAGGATAACTTCTATTGTTACCGTTTCCTAAATTGTAAATAAATCTCTAAATTGTTATGAATTTCAAATAATACTTGTCGTCATTTAATATATAATTTTTTAGATATTGTGGAACAAAAATTGTTCTTTGTCTAAATTGAAGCTTCTGAAATTTGTAATGTCGAAATGTTAAATCCGTGCAAAATTGTGGTGACATTAAGTTAAAAAAACCGATCGTTTGGTATGAGTATTTTAGGGAGTTTTGAGAGCAAAAACAAAAAACTGTTTCTAATATTTTTTGTCAGCAGCAACGCTCTAACACTTTGGCACTCACATACACACATACATACATACATACATACAGTTTTTAAATCGAATTTTTATTATTTTCGTGTGTGATTGTTTTTCTAACGTAAATTGTAATTTGAATCAATTTGTAACAGTATCTTTTGCTGCTTCGGCTTTAACTTAAACAGCCAATTCCAACCAAAACTTTTTTTGTTCACGTTCACTTCATTCTCTCAGTTTATTTAACTGTTCATCATTATCTGCTTGCAACATATACATAATTTTGCTTTTTTTTATAGGGATTCAGTTAACCACAATCTACATACATACATACACTCAAACTAATCGCATGAAAAAGAGAAAGAAGAATAAGCAACAAAAAAAGACTTGCAAAACATCGAGTAAACAGTGTCACATTTGGTTTGTTGTCTAAACGTAGCAACATTCTTCATACGTGCTCGCTCTAACATGTAACGGTCGTGTGTGTGAGACTATTCGAATAAAAATAACGATTAATCGTTGAACTTTCGCTAAAAAATAGCTAATAAATTTAAACAATTTTTAATAAAATTTATATTTGTCTGGTTAATGGAAAAATAAATAACTATTAAGCAATTTAGTTGAAAATAAATTGAAACATGGTCATGGATCAACTGCTCGAACGTCAATTGTTGCAGCATTTAAGCAACGGCTTACTCTCCGTCGCTTCCGCCCAACGTTTAGCTCCTCCACTTAATAGCAGTTTAAGTAATATTTTGCCCTCCACCTCGGCTTTAAATTTGTATGCAGCCACTACAGCTGCTTCTAATTTACGTGTACCGCCATGGGCGCCTTTCTTACAACTGCCCCACCATGTTAATGCTGGTATACATACCACACGTCAGCGTTTATTAAACAGTTCCTCTGCTCAAACTGCTGACTCTGGTTTATTTCACGCCTGTTCTCCAATTGGTGCTGCTCAGCAGCATCCGCCTAAAGTTATGGCAACTGCTGTTTTGCCATTTTGTACTAGCATTTTAAAGGCTCAGTCAACGACCAATATTTTGCCACTTGTAGCTGCAGCACCACAACAGCAGCCTCAACAGCCACAAGCAAAGCTTAATTTAAATTTGCCAAAGACTAATTTGCAACATGCTAAACACAATGTTGTACCACAAGGACCTCCAGCTGCCGACGGCAATGTATCGAATGATGATGATGGTAAGTGATTATTATTTTTGTTTTTCAATTTAAACCTGTTTTCTATATCTAAATTGTTTACGAGTAATAAAAATAATATAAAATTAATTTTTAAAGCCAATGCTTGTTATTTGATAATTTGGCAAATAAAAATTTGCCTGAATTTTGTTTAAAGCAAATGTAAATATAATTTTGCGTTTAAATATTGTGGCATTCGTTTTGCTTATTTGGCAAAAGAAATTTAATATTTGAGTTTAAGCTTAGTGCTAATGAATACTTTTGAAGTAAAAATAACTAAAATATCTGTTATATAAAATATCTTGTCATATAAATGTAGATACTTTTCCAAAGATATTTGGGTCCAAGTTGATCCTTTTGTAAGAATACCTGTAAGAGAAGAAAAGAATAGAGTTAATGGATAGAGAAATAGAAAACACATAAGGAAAGGAATGAGATGAGTTCACGCCCTTTTTGAAAATTTTAAAAATGCGACAAGGTTACAGAGAAGATGCTTTATCTTTATCCTTTGACAACTTCTACAGACGTCTTGAAAGACCAATGTGTTTAGCATGATTACCTAATTTACACTGATCGCTAATAACCGATACCAAGTTACCTAGTTGTAAGGATAGTTCTACGTGGGACCACATGAGTCCACAATGCTCTAGATATCGAGCCTTGAAATTGCAGATGTCAACAATCAGTTTTTTAATTGCAGGTAGTGGAACTCTACACAGTTGGGTACTACCAAAGTGTCGGCAATATTATTGCCATATGTAGTCCCGTGTCCTTTGATCCATATATGGGGAATGTTTGAATGTCCTGCCATCTCATTGATAGACTTCCGGCATTCATGGACAAGTTTAGATGTGAATAGCACTACAATATCGAATTTAATAGTAGCTTGACTATGGGTAAACATTTTGATACCTCTTTTAGATATCCGATAGTACATTAGCAAATACGACGAGATTTTACTTTCAAACTCTTCAATGCAGATAGATGCCACCATCAACTCCTTTCGTTGTGTTAGATCCATCTGTATATAGGCGAAAACAACGAAAGGAGCGATTCTTGAGACTTCGCTGAGATATGGTATAGGAATCGTCTCAAAAGGGAAGATTGCGGGATCCAATAATCAATGGCATTTTATTGACTCTTTAGAAAAGCTCACGTACTCCAGCAAAGTGCTTGTACATGGACCGGCTTAGCCATGTACAAAAATTGCCACGGTTGTGAGTCGTCACAAAGCTCACCCAGTGATTGAAAAAGACCACCGTGAGATAGGCCAACACGACAGGTACTCACGTAAAGCACTTCGGCATTAGTGACTCTTTAAAAGATCAAAGATTTCTCCCTGGAACAAGTGCACAATCTTGCAACAATGCACATTGCCATTTGTTTGACTAGAATATTTACTGGAAGCCAGTTGAACATAGGGTACAACGCCTTTAATGGAGTTGTTCTAAGAGTACCGGTAATGAGAAGAGCAAAAAATCTCAAAACCTTTTCAAGATGTTGTCTGTGTGAAGAGACATGATATTATAATATAACTCTCAATTACATGTTGCAAGTGATTGAAAATGGAGTTCTCAACATTACCCTGTCAGACGACTACATAAGTTTTGATCGATACATTTTACTTTAGAATAGAGTATCCAACATTAGATTGAATGATGCTTGATCAGTTCTTTTATACAATTCTTTTTCAACATTTTTTTTTCTGGATCAGTCCATAACTTACAATAGCTCCCACGTGAAACCAGCATTGGCGAATATAGCATTTTCTTAATATAGAATTTTTGTTTTTTAGATCTTCAGAATATTTTGGCAGAAATCAAATTTTAATTCTTTATCATAATCCGAAATATCTGATTCTTCAGATTTTCCTCTTTATCACCATAAAGAACGTCCATTACTTCAAGATGTATAACATGAATTAAATAGAAATTATCAGAAACGGGGCTGATTTTAACAAAACGGGCCTAACTTTGTCGGAAATTGTGCACAAAATGTGTTTTTTGAAATTAATTTTTTAACACCTGAAGAAGTTGTAGGAACCACCGAACAAACTTCTTGTGGTGAGGAAAACCCATTTGTGCTTCCACCTTTGTATATCAGTCGGGCCAAGTGAACATTTAACTTTGCAAAACTATTTCTAAGTGTGGTTCGAAAGCTCAAATAAAAAGTTATATTCTAATACTCTTTATGACTATACAAATGACAAAAACATAATTTACAGAGTTGTATTTTTAACCAGCTTTCTAATAATAAGTAAAAACTCCAAAAATTTATTTAAAATTTCCGAAATTTTGCCGGTACTTGCAAAAAAATTTGACGCGGAATTCACGGTATTTTTTTCCGGCTCAAAACCCTAAATCCTACTAATCTTGGACATACTATCGCCATTGAATCCCAAATATAGTATATCTAAGTTACTGATCAGTTCAGGTATTATTAAGCTGATAACAATGTGACGCAATTAGGTGCCGTATTGTGAGTATATTTCTGATATGATTTGTGCGTGGATTCCATTTGGTGACTAATTGTGGTGAGAGTCGTTTTCTAGAAGCCTTAGTTTGGGTTGTTGGGTTTTTAATAATAATAATAATAATAAGCCGATCTCCTTCTCCTCGAACACTTCCTAACAAATGACAATTAGTAAGGTCGATAAGTCTGTTGTCGAAGTCGATAAGACCGTCATGGAGATCGGTCAAATCATCTTCAAAGTGGCCTGAGCGGAGTTCGACATGCCGACTTCTTTGCACTGGTGCAATTGTGGACCCTGTTAGCAGGCTGAGTTCCGAAATAATTTGATTGACCTTCAACTGGGTTGGAGCTGGCTTTACAATATGCTAAGGAACGGTTTGTGGTTGCTGTTCTTGTAGCTGTCGTTGTTACTGCCGTTGAAGTTGTTGTTGTTGCTGTAGTTGGTACTGATGACGCTTGATTACCAAATGCTGTTGCTGCAGACGATGTCGCTGGTCATTTAACCGTCGATGAGCTCTTAGTTTGCGTTGGGTTGGCTTCTTGATGTATTCTTGGTTGAGTACGCTTCTGCTGTCGATGTTGTAGGGATCTCTGACCGGCATTCCCGGGAAGAAGCAAGGTATAGTGGAAATCACAACAGATCCCCCATCAAAATTCAGCTCATAATCTGATGAGAATGCAAAAAACAATTGGACCAGTACACCTCCTACAGCCTCTGCTCCAATGACAGCATGATAAACATCATACTTGCAGTATGGTAACTGAAACAGACAGCACGCAATTTCGGATTTTGGGCTAGGTGCATTCTAGAGGAGGTAGAAAGAAGGTCAAAAATGTAGATCCCGTAACGGATTCTGCCAGTTGTACTCCATTGATGGCGATATTTAATCGTTCCCAGCGATTCAATAGTGACAAATTGTCAGGCGATATTGCTGGTGCAAAAGAAGTAAGGACTGCAGAGCATCTGGGTCTTCTGACATCGGTGATATTGGTTGGAATTTCGAATGCTTTCTATTCGCGCAAGTAGAATATAAATTGCACCTGCAATGTTCCATAACTGTATTTTAAAGCTTCCCATAAACATCCCAGTAATGTTTAATTGTTATCTATTGCAAAATATTAATCATTGAGTTAAAATAGAAAAATAATCGTAATTTAATTACTTTTCACTTAAAATAAAATAATTTCATTATTTTCAAACTTGTTTGATGATGATATCTCAATTCTTTAACCCTTCAACTTTTTAGTGCTGCCCCTGAAAATCTCATTAAATATATAATTTACTCATTTTAATATGGCCCAAAGCCAAAAACTTTTAATAATAGAAAGAAAAACAAAGTAGAAAATAAAATTTTACCAAAATTATTAAATTTGAACTTGTTAAGAGAGTATTTGTGTAATTATTTACAATGTGTTCTAGTTGTTGGCCACTTTAATGTTATAATTGGTCTCGGAATATTTCTCTTATTAAATCCATGATGAGTTATTATTGTTGTACAATAAGTACTCGCTCCTAGTGGCGTTTAAGTTTTTTGTGTTGAGTTAATGTTGTCTTAAGGTTTTTTTTTTGGAAGGGAAGTCATCATTGCTACTGATTAAACATCATTATAATTGATCGTACAGAATAAATGGTGGGTAAACAAGATCATGTGTTTAATGGTTTAAGTTTATAATGAAAGAATAGATATTAAAACAACAACATTTTTGGAAAAACCAGCTACTTAAATGCACTTAAAGAAATTTGAAGGGCTAAAAGGAGGGATGTTTTTAATCTTATAAAATCAAACTTTTTTTCAGGCTTTATTCCACATCTGTACATTATTTTGGAGGAACTATGGGTGCAAGTTTCTTAAATAACCTGAACTGAAAAAATTTCAAACAGAGTTGGAACTGCCGTAATTAGGTTGATAGGAGGATGTATACTACTTCAAATCCAAAGGGCCTGTTCTCATTAAGCTCATCTTATAGGATCTTTGTGGTTCCACCGAGCGCTTCATTATATCAAGAGGTCTTCTGGCATATTTTGGCAATTTTGAATTTCGAGAGATCTGAAAAAATTCCCGGGTAAATTGGCTTTCACATGGTTTTGTTTTTCAGTGTATTATCATAATGTTTTAATACTTGTGGCACTAGTTTTCACGTAAAAAGAACAATCATCAATTAATTTCAGTTCAACTTGAACAGATTTCTTTGGATACATTAAGAAATGGAAATATGTTTGATGAAATCTATCAGAGCATCATTAGAAAAGTGATGAATTGTTGTGGTATTTAATCTTAGATTATATTACTCAGCTCTGACGAAATAGACTCTGTCTAACAAAAAGAAAACTTAATTAAATTGTAAAAAAATTTTGATGAAAAAGGGAAATATTAATTTTATTTCTTTCTTTTCATTCCATTATTTTCTAATGTTTTGTAATTTGAAAATGTTTGATTTAAATGTTTCTACCGTTTGTTCTTCTTATAATTATTTAGTTTCTAGTGTTTAATTTTGTCTGCTGCTATTGCTGATGTCTGTCATTATGGCCC